AAATTAGGTGTCTATTTACTTGTGACCACTCAGTGTATAGTCAGCAACTAGAATCTTTATATCAAGCCCTTCATCAGAAATTCCCTTCTTTCATCAATTGGACAGGTATTCTTTTTCTCCACGACAATGCACATTCACATGTAGCACATATGATGTAACACAAAATTATGGAGTTGGGTTGGGAAGTTTCCTCCCACCCACCATATTCTCCAGATATGGCACCATCAGATTACCATCATTTTCGATCTCTGCAACACCATCTTAACGGGAAAACGTGTGCAAATGTGGAAGGTGTTAAAGAGGACATTGACATGTTTTTTGCTTCAAAGCCAAGTGATTTATTTACTCACGGGATTGACAACCTAATTGTAAGATGAAAAAACATCATTATTAAGAATGGAGACTATTTCGTTTAATAAAAGTTTTGTTTTGATATAAAATTGTCGGATTTTTTCATCTAAAAAAAAAAGCAACATTAATTTTTTGATGACCTGATAGGTATTAATCCCATGGTGGTAAGTAAAAAGTTTGATCACCAAATATTGTTTTTTTCCAAGAGTGTTAAAAGGGATTAAAGATCAGACATATATATAAGCCAATTGGTCATTTTCATTTTTGGTAGCTTCAATAGACAGTAGGTATGTGCCTGAGGGAGTAATAAATACTTCCGTGTAAATTATAGGCCAGTTAATCTTACTTCTGTATTAGAAAAATTTTTAGAGAATGTGATGAAAGAAACTTTGCAAAATTATTTAGTGAAATATGGTATGATAAAACATAGATACTTTTCTGTATGTATTTGATTTTTGAAACTAATTTGTGTTTTTGTAGTATTTTACAACTGAAAGTACTTTTTGTTATTATTAGACAGTAATTGGAAGTTTTTATTTGTGAAAAAGCATTCTATTCATGTAAAAGCAATAGTGTGTACAGTTATTAATGTAATTAATGAACATATATCATGTCAGTTTCAATTACTCTTTCAAATTGTTTGTAACAAACAAAATTTTTTTTGATAAAGAATATTTAAACCAATATTTCTTTTTCTTATAGTCAGTCCAGGCTAAGTGTTTTGACCATTATAGTGCAATTTATCACCTATTGTTAGACAAATTAGATGGGCACCAGGGTACAGCACTATTGCCTCAAAACTTGTCTGTGATGGGTCATCCTCAAAGAATCACCAGTATTACTACAGGAACTGGTGAGTAATTTAACTAACTTTATTTACTGTCACATCCAAATACAGCATACCATACTTCACCTGTGAATGTGTGTTTGCATGTATACTATTTCGTGTTTACGTGCAGAAATAGACAGTTTCTAATGTAGAAATGCTACTTACCTCTCTGCACCACTAAGAGCTATCAACTTGAATGCAACTATCATGGAATTTCCTGTGCATGCCACAAGCCTTGAACAAACTCCCACCCCTACACATTTCTACATGAATTATATCAGCCTATGACATAACCATCATAATGCTGTAGTCCTCCACCAAAAGGAGGGTGACATGACCTCCGTGTGTGATAGTGCCTGTGAATGCTAACACATGATCATAAGCTCATTCTTCCCTTGGTACTTCCTTTGTTCAGACATGTTTTTTCATGTGCATTTTGAGTTTCTAGTCACATTAGTTGACTGTTTTGTCTGTATTTCTGTAGCACTACATTAGCTTTGTCTCATACACTTGATTGCAACATTGTTTTCTCTAGCCACTGCATTTCTACATTAGACTACTTTCCACAATGCATGCCATGTACAAATATATATATGTATATATATAAATAAAGTTCTGATGTCTAGGCATTCCTTTTCAAGCATTTCCTCCAACTTACTTTATGGTGACTGGAGGCACTTTTAACTCTTCATGAATCTGAAATATAGTTGTTATCCCTTTTTAGCCCCCATAGTAATGCAAACACACCTGTGTGTGTGTGACAAGTTTTGTATTTCACTCAGTGGCTAGGTACTTTTGATCTGGATAACTTAGCTTCTACAACCATATTGAGCTGTGATGAACCATGGTGTACCAACCATTGATATGCTGGCTTTCATATTTTAGGTACCTTGTTCCTGTTGCCTATTTCTTCTCCAGGTCAGGTATTTAGTTGTTTTATTTTTTTATTCTTTCTGATGAGCCTGCTTTCACCTGTGGACGAATTTGGCCAGCTTTTTCACCTCTGACTTTTGTTGCTGGATTTTCTTTCCATGATTAGGAATAGGTACCTCATCCTTTTCTGTTTGCTACAGTCATTAATCAGGTATGTGATATTCTCTTCTTTGATTGTTTTACATCATGTACCTTCTTCTGTCCCATATCTTTCTTCCCCTACTCATGTTTGAGCCTCCTTTGCTATAGCCTCAGGTCATGGCCCTTTTATATTTCTTGATCCACAATATCTTGTGTTTTTTCGTTTTCCTTGGGGTGCTTCTCTTTCTTCTTTGCTATTCTTTTCAACTATTTTTCTATCTATTGTTTGATTCCTCTTCCCTTTTGGAACCTTTGTGAGGTTCTTTGGGCTGCTATTTGCACCTCTATGAACTGTTGGCTTCTTGTTTCTTGTATCATTTGATTGTCAAGATGTATTTTCTTCTCCTTGTTTTTTGTTGTCATTATTCAGACATTTATGCTTTAGGTGATTCCCATACTCTCTGTCATAAGAACCAGTTGATATAGTTTCCAGTCCAATTCTTTCTTCCCTAGACTTGGGCTGCCTAGGAGGATGATTGGATGTTTTCTCCCATCTCCTTCTCCTTTATTTCATCCTTGTACAATCGCTCTGATCTTGATCTTTTTTGTGTGTTATATATGGGCTGTCTGTTGTTGTCTTGCTCTTACTGCCCCTTGACATGAAAACTGCTGTTGCCTACTTTTACTGTAGGAGATCTCCTCCTCTTGGGACTTCTCCCACTTTAATTGGTTAGGTTCACCAACACATCTGTCTTGGATATTCTTCTTTGGCTCATCTGACCATATGCTCTTTTGTCTCCTCCTGTCAGTTTTGGAATGTCACAACCTCTCTTGCCTCTTTCTGTTGCTGAACTTTAGGGGAACAATTACTGGTTAGTGGACTATAATCCACCCTGTTAAATATGTGGACTATACTTAACACATTAATTTCCCATCACTTACATCAATGGGCAGTTTCCTGTTCCTCTGGTTTCCGTCTTCATCCAGTTGCCATTCTCCATCTACCCAGTGGCTATAGTGTGGTGAATTTTTCCTGTTGTGTTTTTCAGTCATGTCCATGCCATTCATGTTTTATGGTATTTCCACTTGTTACCATGAATTTTTTTTACATATTACACATATTGCAAGTTCCTCAAAGAAATAAAACAAACAGGAGGAGGCAAGACATTCCAGATCAAATGTTACACGAGGAACTATGCCTAACCTTCCTTATTCTTGGTGCCATTGGAACTTGGCAAGTAGCTAGCATTGCCTATTTCAGAAGGGAGCTCATCTTTGTAATTGATGAGCACCGGCCCTTCCACCATTTTCAACGTGGATTCTAGCCCTTACTGGTGCAGAGAGGTAAGTAGAATTTCTGAAGTTAACATTTTCCTTACCTGAAAATGTATTTCAGAAAGATACTAACCTCTCTGCACCACCTTCCCACCTTTTTTCCCCTTTCAGGTGCATTTTCTTTGCTTTGTCAAGAATGAGCCTATGATCATGTACTAGTGGTTACAGGGATTACTGCTCATGGAGGTTGTATGGCTCTTCTGTTGTTGGAGGGCTACAACATTATGATGATTTTGTCATAGGCCGGCATAATATATGTAGATGTGTGTAGGAGGTTCTAATTTTTTCAAAGCATGTGGCCTGTACAGAAAATTCTACAGCAGTTGTGCACAAGGTAATAACTCTTAGTAGTACAGAGAGATAAATGTTAATTTTGGAATTATCAGAAGTATTGTAAGAAACATAAACATTGTTAAGTTTAATTATGCTACTTACATGATTTTAATGTCAATGAACTGTGCCAAAAAATTGTATCATAAATTAGTTGCAATACATCAGTTAATCTTTATTCATAAACATTATACATAAAATTAAATTATATAGTAAATTTTGAAGCAGATATGGGTGCTAAAGCCGACAAAATCCCACATCTAACATCACCAGTCTTCATCTGTAGCCAGTTGTGAAAAGGTACTTTGTCGTAATGAAGCACCAAACAATAAAATATAATAGGCAATTATGAACACACTACAGATTTTTAAGTAAAACATATTTCTTAAAGTTAATACTTCAGCCTTCATAATTTTCACTTATCATTATGAACCTTCTAATGAAACCTAAGGTGATGAGATCAGTGTATACAAGAGCTATATAAGCTATGAAGGCCTATCCTGAAATCTTGAGATATGTCCTCAAATTCAAAACTAGCCTATCATCACACTATTTTTTAAATTGCAAATAATGTATTAACTTAATTGTCATGTTCAAACTTACCAAAAATGTTTAATACAAATAATGTATCATATGTTATTGTATTACATATGATTTATCATTAGTACCCCAGTGGCTTAGCGGTATGTTTGCAGACTGAAAATACCAACAAAATCTGATTTGATATCTGTAGTTGGCACAGCACATGTAACCCTTTGTGTAACTTTATGCTTAACTACAAATAAACATATATAATTTAACATGATGCCAATCAATAAATATTTGATGAGTCCTCCATTGAATAGGTAAAGCGCTTGGTTCCCAGAGTAGTCATCAAGGTTGTGATAGACTTCTCCCACACATAAGTAGACTATGCTTTTCTTCCTTCTCCTTGAGTCCTTACTAATGTTGCCCTATTTTTATTTGATAAAATAAGTGTCATAGTGAAGCATACAATAAAGAAAAAGCTTACAGTATGTTTCTTGTAAGGATGATGTATGTTTTTTCATTTGTAATTGAAGCTAGGATCTCGATATTATCAAACCCTGAAATTATAAGTGCTACAGAAACCAATTTTAAAAACAGGATCTCTGATACTTTGAAACAAGTGGCATTATTAAATCCCGAAGAACCTAAAATGATAAAGAACTGATGGAAAAATAAGCTGAGAAAACTATAAATGTACTCAGGAAGCAAACCCAACATGATTAGTTAACCTTAAATCTAGAGGTGTGAACACTTAAAGTAGTGTTATAGCATGTATGATTTCGATTGTAGCTGTCAAGTTAGGACATTACACAGGAAGTATTCTGAATATCACACAAAATCAAAAATTAAAGATACTTTTAAATGGGACACTAATAGAAAGAAAAACAAGAAGGGCTATTTGTAAGGTAAAATTGGCTAGTGAATTTTACAATAAAAGAAAAAGCTTTTAAGGGATTTTTTTTTAACAAAGACTGAGATGGAGTGAATAATATAATATAAAGAATTGTAACAGTATAGAAATACTTGTAATAACTTTTTTCATTTATATTTCCACATATAGCTTGACTTAATGGTTTAAAAAAAAAAAACATAAAATAATATTTTCCGATATGGTAAATTACCTCTGCTAACATAGCTATTCTCGTTCAGTGCTGCCCTCCATATGCAAAAGAAACATTTTACGCATGCTACAAGCCTTTTATTTCCCCTCAGTTGGAATTGACTGATTCTAATGCATCTCTCATGCAAATCATCATGCGACAATCCTCCACCAATAAGAGTGCGACATACTCTCTTGACACATATGACTCTCTCTGTTTAGTTCTACCAAACTATCACTTCTCATTTGGCAGTACTCGTGTTAAGATGTTTTTTTCTTTTGGTGCTTCTTTTATAATTTGCATTCATGACTTTAATCGTTTAATTTCCAAAGTGGTCTTTCTTCATTAATATTAGGGTTCACGCTGAGCAAGTTGCTTAACAATTGCCTCACCCTCCACAGTCTATGGATCAGTTTGAATTAGCCATCAGGCTGACTGTCCATTTCTCGACTCTCAACAATTGAGGTCGATTTTACCTGTGTGTGGGGGTAGTCCCTGATTTTTCTGTGCAATTTAACCAATGCACAGTTTTCACACCCTCGTCTTATCCTTACTTCCATTCTACGGTATTTGTCTATTATCCATCTTCTTTCCAAGGTGATCCACCAAGACCCTGAGGGTTTTTCGAGGGAAAAACTTTCCCTTATTACCTCCATGTTGGCTCATTTTTCGTCTTCGGCTCTTGCTTTACACACGTAGTTTCTCTGTTGTTGAGAT